ACCTCAGATTTGTGAATAAGGGTTTTACTTTCTGAAGGAAGGCTGAGGGAAGAAGAAAACGATCCACCACAATAGCGGATGGGACCACCAAACGCATAATCTATATTATCAACGGCGTAAGGGATAAGTACCTGAGTCTCAGCAATCTTCTGCGAAGCTTCTTCCATCAAAGGAACTAGAGCAAACTTTTTTCCATTTATCTTTATTAGAGTCGAAGTTACCGAGGAAAGTGGTGGGGTGGAGAAGTTAGAAGATTTGGAAGTCGCCATTACAGTTTGTGGAAAGGTTGAAGACGAAGAAAAGGTGCGACAAAGAAGGAGTGGGTTAGGTTCTTGGTAAAAAACAAGGGTAAACAACTGATAAGAGTATTTAAAGAGGCCGACTAGGGTATTTGAAACGACGAATGTGAAGAGGGTAATTAATACATGGCGTGCGCGTTGTGACAGTAAAGGTGATGTGATTTGATATTTGACATAAAGCAACAGAAACCCTAAAAAACCCCAGAAACCCTAAACCCTAAAAAAGCTATTTTTAACTTCGAAGAACGTTTAAGGGCAGGAGTTATTTTGAAAGAATATAAAATTGGTACAAATATTTATATTCTTCCAAGGGGGCATTTTGTTAGTAAAAAATTGATATAAGGATCGAAAAAACGGAAAAGAGAAAATCGAAGATCATATGATTGGTTAAAAAGTTGATAAATCGGAAAGGTGGTTAGAAGACATTCGATGACCACCAGACAGTGTGAACACATAAATCGAGAATAGAAATCGAGAATCAGAAGATAGAGAAAATTCGATGAAAGAAAGAAATCGATGATAAAGTATGAAGTGTAAAGTCAAGGTTAAGGGAAATCATACTTGACAACTGGAATCGAGATCGAGGGAAACGGTTATCATGCATAGGGAAACATGGAACGTGGAAGAGGTTTTCTAAACTGTAAGCTAAGGTAAAAACCGAGTAACGTGCACATGGAACGTGGCGACAGTTTTTTTAACTGTTCTTAGGAGGTTACATTGAAGGATGCCTATAAATAGAACGAAGCTTGAAGAAGAAGGGGAAATTGGCAAAGACAACAAAAGCACAAGTGAAAAGTCTACCGGAGAACGATGAATCATGAAGTTTCTGGCAATCTGGATTTCCGTTCTCATTAACTGTTTTTACCGCTTTCTTTACTTTCCCTGGTAACTTATTTACATTCATCAATTTAAGTTCCTGTACTTTAAATTTTTGTCATTTACCTTCAATACAATATAAGATTCTGTACTTAAATTTCTTGTCTTTACTGTTTCTGCAATTTCGATTTCCTGTTATTTACATTTTTGCAATTTCAATTCCTTGCCATTTACATTTAATGCAATTTGAGGTTTCCGCATTTTTACATTTTGCTGCAATTTGATATTTTACACTGTTTCGTCGATTCGATATTTTCTTCTTTACTGTTGTCTTTACTTCGAGTTTCTTAATACAAAATATCAAAAATAGTACTTTCGATTGTCAATCAGCACACTAGGTTGCGTTGTTAGCGTTTCTTGATACTATGGGATTTTCGATTCTCATACACGTTTTGATTGAAAATTGTCGCTAGCCTAAGTGAAAAGTCTACCGGAGAACGACGAATCATGAAGTTTCTGGCAATCTGGATTTCCGTTCTCATTAACTGTTTTTACCGCTTTCTTTACTTTCCCTGGTAACTTATTTACATTCATCAATTTAAGTTCATGTACTTTAAATTTTTGTCATTTACCTTCAATACAATATAAGATTCTGTACTTAAATTTCTTGTCTTTACTGTTTCTGCAATTTCGGTTTCCTGTTATTTACATTTTTACAATTTCAATTCCTTGCCATTTACATTTAATGCAATTTGAGGTTTCCACATTTTTACATTTTGCTGCAATTTGATATTCTACACTGTTTCTTCGATTCGATATTTTCTTATTTACTGTTGTCTTTACTTCGAGTTTCTTAATACAAAATATCAAAAATAGTACTTTCGATTGTCAATCAGCACACTAGGTTGCGTTGTTAGCGTTTCTTGATACTATGGGATTTTCGATTCTCATACACGTTTTGATTGAAAATTGTCGCTAGCCTAAGTGAAAAGAATCTACGTGGTCGAAATTTGATCAGAACCTAAGAAATCGAAATCGATCAAATTTTCACCAGAAACACTATGATGACATTAAGCATTCTATAATCCATGCAAAATTTGTAAGTCCCATCTTTTTTCTTTGCCAACAAAATAGGAGATGAGAACGAGCTTGTACAAGGGACTATAGTTTCATCTTCTAACATCTCTGCAACCATTTTCTCTATTTGTTTCTTATGGCTATGAGGATAACAATAAGGTCTCACCCTAACAGGATTGCTATTTGGAAGCAATAGGATCAAGTGATTTTGTTGCCTTTCTGGTGGCAGTCCCGTAAATTTTTTAGATATTTATTTGTATCTATAGAGCAAAAGAGCCAAATCTGGATGGAGGATATCTGTAGGTAAGTCCTGCCACACATTCTGGGGCACATGCAGGTATTGGAATTGAATTGCAAACATCTCAGCAATGACATGATTATTATACAACCTTTTTATGTGATGAAATTGAGCTTTGGTGGGTAATGTAGATTGCACTCCATGAAGCATTACAAATTATCCTCCCACATAAAACTTCAATGTTAAGGAGCTACAGGAAGAAACATGTGAACCTAAAATGACCAAGCATAAGTGATGGAAATATTCTTCCTCCTTCCACCATGAATGACGCCGAAAGTCTCACACCTTGAACACCTAAGATGAACCAAAATTATTTCCTAAGTTTCTAAAGAAACTTGACACTAACTCCTTTAAGGAAGGTTCCTTGTTAGGAGAATAGGAGAAATAAATCTTCAAAGACACTTGAAAAATCAATTCGAGATACAAGCAAAATATGCAAGTTTCACACACAAGTTTTGACTTCATTCCAATGTGATTCAAAAAATTACACAATGGGTCATATATATAGTTGTTCTCCTCTCATTCACTCACTCATCTAAGGAATGCAAGACTAATTTTATCTTATACAAGTGATGCCCGAAGTTCCTAGATTCAAGTCTCACCTAAACCATTTTTAGTTATATTTATGAGTTTATATACCAAAAAACTCTCAAATGTTACAACCAAGATTTGAACCTTAGACCTCTTTGAGTGTTTGGAATGCTTTGGACAAATTTGAAAAACTAAAATGATATATTCTCTTTTTTTTGCAACCAAGACTTGAACCTTAAATGCAACTCCTTCAAATTTGGTCCTTATTTGAAGTCTAATATGTTGAGATCAAATGTGATGAAATCTAATGTGTTATGGTCCATATGATCCTTCATCTATGAGCTCCTAATAACAAGGTAGAAATTTTCATCATACATAAAGCATATACCTTTTTCCTTCTAAGTTATATTTCAGTTTGAGATATATTTTTGACATTGGTTGGTTTAAAAGGTTGGTTGGATGGTTTTTGGTTAGGTGTAGGAATGATGTGTGGGGGGTATGACTTCTTTGGCTTGTGTTTTAGGTTTTTGAATAAGTGGTCAAGTAATATAGTTTGTGTGTATATGTATACTTTTCTTCGTATAATTTGACAAATAACACTGCCTTCGAGAGAGTTGGGGCTTTGAATTATTATTTCTCTTCGGATTTCCAATTTCAAACTACTAATGAAACAATTGAGTAATGCATCAATTGTAACCTAAAATCCAATTTGTTAGAACAATAAATTCTAGATAATATTCACAATCAAATCCAATTTGGACTAGTTTAAATAAGGTGAACATGGGGCACTCAAACAGTGAGGGCCCAAATTACAATTCTAAGGCGTGAGTGAAATTAGATCAATATCTAAATAAATTATTCTTTTGCATCATTTGAAACCAGGGCACTACACCCTTCTCCATGTATATAGAAGTAATGGTCAATCGTTGCACATTTGGAGTGTTGTAATAGTTGAAAAATTGTTCAACTTCGAATATTCATGTGAATACATTAGACCCAACAAATTTTGGAAAATCTAGATTAATGTTTTTTACTTAAAATGGAGGGTTACGTAGGCTCACTGAAAAAAGAATTTGAGTTTAAACCACTAATGAAATGGGTAATGATCGAAGATTGAAACACTGATTCAATCTTTTCAAATTAAGTCTTATATTTTAAATTGTATTTCTTCGTTAATTCCAAACTTTTTTTTATCTCCCATCTCTTTCAATTTGGTGTTTTTAGCCATGGTATCGATGAAAACACCAATATAATTTTTTAAAATTACATTATTGTTATTATCATGTTAAACTAATAAAAGATGTGACTACTTATGTCTTAAGTTATTATTTAATGATATATCTTCTTAGTAGAAACCAACCGTTTTAATAAAAATAAAATGAACTAAAAGTAAAATTATAATAAATAAAGCTAACCTTAAAGATGGTGTTAAAATCATTTAAACAAATTGGTATATTTTATTCAATTAATGTTAAAATTGTTAATATTTTAAAAGTTGTTAATAAATAATATTAACAATTTTTATTTACATATAATATAATTTATAACTAATTCATAACAATTTTATATAATTACACATAATAAAAACTAAATTAATTTCAACCAACATCAATAACAAAGTATGAAATTGTCACAATGTTTTAAAATTGAAAATACAACTCTATAAAAAATAAAGAAATTTGATTGAATCTTTTGATAATAAAGAAGTAAAAAAAACTGAAATAAATAAATAAATGAAAAAAATAATGAAGCCAACAAAACAACAATGACACTAAAACTTTTACCTTTGAATCGTTTTAATCGAATCCCATAATTGGCATACAAGGAAACAGTGTCGACGACTAGTATGAAACTACAAAAGTATATCAAATGTCTACTTCTATGAATCACAACATATTGTTTCCTCAAAAGCATAAATTTAGGCAAGACCAAACATTCCCTATGGTTGAAATGAAAGGATACAATCTATTTCTATTTGCCTAACTCAAAGTGGGAGGAACCACTCGAAGCATCGTACTTTGAACAAAAGATATCATCTGTAAAACAAAATTCAACCACACAAAGAGTATGTAAATATATAAATATAAAAAGTCAACGAAAATAAACTAAAATCTGGCCTAAATATAATTTCAAATATAATAATATTGTATAGAACAACTTCTTTTTATATTGACAATTAAAATAGTATTTAACTATATCCTATTAATAAAAAAACTAAATAAGAAAACCTAGCATAAATGAGATAAAGAGCGAATAGATGAGTTTCTTGGTAAAGACTTTTATATGAGAAAAAAAAACTGAAGAGGAAAAAAACTAAGAAAATTAAATTTTACATATATTAAAATTAAGTTATAAGTTTCGAAAAGTTATTACAAACTAGCTTATTTATTAGCTAATTTTAACGTCTAAAAAGTCAATTTTATATTTTTCTTCTTATTTTTCTCTCTTAAAAGTCCTTATGGACAAATATGTCCATACAATGCTTAAAACAATAAATGTAGACTTCAAGATTAGGAAAAAATATAACACTTTCATTAAAGTTATAAGTTCTTACCGAAGCAAATCCAATGCACATAATACTAAATCCGGGAAAATCGAAAGGTGCCTTTTCAGAAAGGAAGAGAGCTGAGACGTGAAAAAGGTACTCGTTAATAAATTGGGATGATCTATCAGAATCTAATATGTCATATTCGCATGCTCTCACCTGTTAATGGAGAGAAAACTAAGGGAGATACTATTTGTGCCACTGAACATATACCAGAGATGCAACCTTGAGCCTTTCCCTAAAAAAGGAAGATAAATGAGAGGGGAAGCTAAACAAATTTTAAGTTATCTACCAAAAATTTAAAAAACTATACTAAGTTTTTTGTCAAGCAAAACTGAGTTTCTTTCCTTCATTAAAAATTTAGTAAATTATACTGTGATCTGCATGCAAACTCTAAGAAGAGTAAAAAGAAACATGTGCATTTCTTAATTAAAGCAACAATCCTACGCCTTTGTCTCTATATGATATAAATAAATAAAGGCAACAAAATTATGCACAGTACCAGACATGACCTCCCATTACAAAACACTACAACTCGTAGAAATCAACTTATTTCGACACAACATTGTTTGTTTCTACAATTGAACTTAGGCTTTACGTATCACATAAACAAGTTTCAAATTTCTGTAAGCCATTTAAATTTTACACAAATAAGGATTAAGAAAAGCAATCCCAACCAGCTTGTTTAACATTAATTAGTATTATTAACTCTACCTGCTCATGGGGACCAACTTGTTTAGACACAATACTTCGTATCTGCAAATGTAAAATTAAATTATCCAACATTGTGTTTGTAAAAAAAACTACTCAATTTGAAGGGTTAGAATGAAAAACGATTATCCTTTTAAAGAATAAAGAAAGACAGAATGAGGAAGTAAACTCACACAAGGTTGTGAGAAAACAAATAAAATTGAGAACATGGCAGAGGCATAAGGAACCTGTCAACATTCACCCAGTAGAAATTATACAATAAAAAGAAAAAAGAAGGAAACATGGACAACAAAAGGATAACAGAGGCATATACAAGTGTGAATAATAAACCACTCTATCTCAAGTTTCAACATTATAATGATATTATATATGGAAAAATAATTGACAGAAACAAACTTGTAATTAGCAATGAAGTTGAAGAAGACATACCAAGGAGGACCACGCTATGCTGTAAAGGAACATCTGCATCCCATTTTAAAAATTTAGAACTTCATAACAGAGAAAATGTTTTATGCTTGTATTAAAGAAATACTTACATGTACACAGTGAAAGAATAGTCCAATTGAAAGTAGCCTTGCCTCGCCAAGAATAGGAGCCAAAATGGGCATAATAAGGAGCTATGGCATCAAAGTTTAATATTTAGATTCATAACAATTAAACTCAAAGAAATTGAAGATTTATGAAAGAATAAAAGGCAAATCAATTGATAATTGAAATATAACCATGTAAAAAATACCTGTGAGACAGTCCCTGCAATTCCAGAAATGACCATCAAGTCAGCAAATTGATTCTTGTCAAAATGAAATTGAGCCTTTAAGAAATACTGCACAAAGAAGAGAAAAGTGTTACCAAAGACTAATTTGACTAACAGTTCCAGTTATATATATAAAAAATATTTCATTATCAACTTGTCAAAGACAATGCAATAGTAAGTTTCAAATTGACATAGTTACTCTACACTACAAAGGTTGAAAAATGAAAGAAATTGATCATCAGTAAATTGCTAATTGAAAATATCAAAAGCCTATGGCAGAGTATGACGTCAATTAGCCAAGGGAGATATATTGAGTAAAAATACAACATTTCTGGACACTATATGAGTTCGTTTGAAGCTAAGGAACCAAATTCAACCAATGAAGAATGTGTGTTAGTATCAATGTATGCTCTAACACTGATATAAAAGAGCACAAGCTTTGCCAACACCTAAACTTGCAAGTAAAATAATATATATATATATATATATATATATATATATATATATATATATATATATATATATATATATATATATATATATATATATATATATATATAACTGAACAGGAATAGAATTTGGACAAAATACACAATAAAAAAAAGCATATAAAGGGTAGAAAAAAAAAAATACCATCATTGATCCATGGAGGCCAACATCAGCAAGGTTACTGAAGAATGCAACAATCGCTGCTTGAGTAATAGTCAAGCTGGAAATTCAAATCAAACATGTATAGTTATAACAAAAAAAAAATTGTATGTTTGATTAGAGAAGAAGGAAAATAGTTAACCTGCTATTGAGAAAGGAGGTTAGGTCCTTGAAAGAAGGCAATGATTTAAGAAGATGTTGGTTCCTTTCCAATTTTACATTGACCTTGGAAATAGTGGGCTTGTGTTGTGAAATGATGGGGGTGTAAAGGTGTTTGTCATCAATGAGTGAATCTCGAAGGAAAAATTGCATGTACACTGCTCCAATCACCGCAATAAGAGTGGAAACCTTTTTCAGGACAAATTTTGTCAGCATTGCAATTATGAAAAAAAAAATTGAGATTAGAAGATTGTAATGAGAGAGGGAAAGCAAAATGCCTGAAAAGTTTGAGCAGTAGATAAGAATCGAACTGAAAAAGTGGCACACACGAATGCTGCAGATCCTATCCCTGAAAGAATCCCAAATGCAGTGCTTCGTCCACTCTCTGGAATGTTATCCGCCTGAAAAAACAGAGGTGTGAAGAAAAGGGATTGACTTAGTTCATAATTTTAAGCATAGGTCTAGATTGTTTGTACTGGATAAATAGGTCATTTCTTCAATAAATAAAAAAAAAAAACATGTATTTTAAATATTTAAACTTTAATTTTCATTCTTAAAAAATAATATTTTTTCTTTTAGTTTGTTGTTGTTAATTAAGATGTATTGAATGTGATTTTCTTATGAACTGTGAAGACTTACAACGTAAGCTAGAGAGAGGCAAGGGACGCTTCCTTCGCAAACCATTGAGATGAGTATCTTGAAAACATAGTATACATAGAAGAATTTTTTGGTTCTGCTGTAAGCTAATATGCCTGCCAAACAGAGATCAATTGCTATTTTAAGACAGCAACTACCAATTTATGTCATCTTTTTCTCCAATATTGACTTTTTGTCCTATGCAATATTTGAATTTTAAAAAAATAATATATATATTTCTTATGATTGTCATTTCCACTATTTGAAAGAAAAAATATATCTACAAAATAAGATTAATAAAAATTAAAATGTTATCTTTTTTTGTGTTAAATCATAGTTTAGTTTGAATTTTAAATTAAAATTCAGAAATAAATTAAATCATTTATTATATTTAAATATATATTTAACAGTAATTATCAATTAATAAATGTGATTTTATATTTTTAGTGTTTATAATTTAACTATATTTTATTTATAATATATTACACATAATTTTAAATTATAAGATTATATACTTTATTTATAAATATGAGAAAAATTAAAATTATAAATATAAGAATTGTCATAAAAATGATATTTTATGATATATCTTTTAATGTAATATTTTATTATAAAAATATAATAGCTTTTTATGAGAAAGTGTTTTTATTTTTTACAATTATTTAACATTTTTATAATAATAAAAACACACAAATATTCAAACTGAATAATAAATATTAATTTATTTAAGTTTAAATTTTATATTAAATTAAGATTAAATCATATTTAATTTTCATATTTGATTCAAATAACTATTTAATGAAAATATAAAAATAAATTAAACAGTGAACATTCTTAGTTGTCATATGATTATACAATTACAAATATAAAATAATTTATTTTTGATTAATTATAAATATAATTTCTATTTTTTATATATTAGGTAAAAAAAATATGGTAGTATGGTATAATTTTGTAATACTACATTACTAAATAAATTTAACTTTTATTCACAAAAAATTTAGAGTAAGAAAAAGGGAAGAAAATGAACAGAAGAGTACCAATGGGAATAATTGTGAGTATCATAGGGATTGTGAGAATGACCTTCCTCCCATAATTGTCAGATAGATTACCCAACAGTGGCATCATCACAAGTGTGCCCACTCCTATCATCTGCACAAATCACAAGTTACTGATACCACTAATATATATTTACTTTCAGAGTAGTATGTTTTACTTTCAAATGTGGACTGGGCCAAGTGATGCATTTGTCCTGAACAGAACTCGTCACCTTTTCGAGAAGGCCCAATTAAAGTTAGTTAAAATGGGCCATATAAAATGACAAATATTCCAAGATGGAAAAAAATAAAAATTATCACTATAAATTAGTCCACATGGGACAAGATGGATGAAAACCCGACAAGTCCATAAAAAAGTACTTCACACACAAACGGTATAAGGAAAGTGCACCAATAGAGTAAGTTATGAATTTCTGTGATAAGTTAGAAACCTACAAGCCTCCCGAAATCACGAGGAAATTTCTTTCCGAATGGCGACACACTTACCCAAATAAAAACCAAAAAAAAAAAAAAAAAAAGACGCAATCTCTGTTACAATTTACCTTCAGCACTGATTGTTTTTGAATTTTGAGTTTGTCTCTGGATAGAACACTCAGCATTTATGGGTGAATAATTGAGGCATTGATTGATCCCTAACTCAATTATCATGGATAATAATATTTTAAAATCTTATTTCACCTATATTTATGAGAGATATTTTATTGTAATTTTAATTATCTTAAAATGTAAATTCAATTTATTTTAACTTTTTTGCCACGAGTTTAATTTTAGTGGGGGACCTCAACATAAATTTTGTAAAGAATAATTGTTAAACATTAATTATTTATGAAGAATAATTTTCACAGCAATATATATATATATATATATATATATATATATATATATAAAACATACAAGAAATAAAAAAGTATGTTATTAAATTTAAAAAAATATATTTATATTTTTATCATGGTATATATAATAAAAAAATGAAATGTATATCAAGCTTTTCATTCACAATTTTTTTTATCAATATTGAAATGAAAAAAAAAAAAGAGTTAATTTCATTAGCAATAATTTTGCAGGAAGCAATACGTCGACTCTCTTAGGTAAATAAATACATGAAAAATAATTGTGAATTAAACATGACAAACTCAATACTATATGTCTAATTTATCAAAATTTAAGAGGAAATGAAAGGAAGTAAGCAAGTTTCATCTAGTTCCAGGTCAATGTTGTGTTGCTTAGTGTAATGAAAAAATTGTTTCCCAGAAGAGTAGTTTAGAATCTCAAAAAAAGTAGTTCAGATAATAAAAACTTAAACTATATCTGATTAAGAATTGACACAAATCAATTTCCAGTATTCACATATACAAACACAACTACTCACAGAGTAAGGAACAAATATAAGATAGAAAGCAGAATGAGTGCAGAAAAATTGTATGGAATATTCAAACTCACAGCTTGTTGAAAACCAGTGAGATAGATGGCAAGTGAGCATTCGTCTTGTCCGGGACAAAGAGCAGCCATTGTGACATCAGTGATGGCTGGTACGACCATGAATATGGCAAAGCTGTGAAGAAACACTGTCATGAAGAGATGACTCAAACCATACAATTTCTCCATGATTCCCCCAACACCACACACTCTATGGCGCTCTTAGTTTCCCCTTTGTCTTACAGGGAAAGCTACTTCTCTAACCTTAGCCACACAGTACATGCACATTCATGATTCTCTTTGAAGCACCCCATATATATGAGTAGGACCTCAGAGCTAATCAATGACCAAGCGTAGAGTACTTTTTGCGGTTGCTTTTACGTGGTACCTCGCAATAGTGCATGAGTTCAATATAACCTTCATAGTGAGTTACAAGCTGAGAGGTAAAAAAAAGGATGCAATATTACTTGACTGCTTTTGGGGAACAATATTGTGAAGTTTCAACTAAAGTAACAGTGACACTGAGATAATGAATTTTTAGTCACGTAGCTGAAAAACTACTAATTACTACTATTTCGTTCAATTTTATCTGTTGAGTGGAATGCGTGGCGTGAAAGATAATACAAATAACAAGATTAACTTACGCCTTGAAGCGTGCAAGTTTATGCATACCCTTTTTTGAACATCCAAGCAAAGCATAGTCCAAGTGGCCTAAAAGCATATCGTGAAATTCACCAATTAAGTAGGATTAATATATCTAATTAGACAAATATGGGAAAAGATCCGCGATTAAACATTTTAGTCTTTGAATGATTGTATGCATAATTATTTTTTTGTCGTAAAACAAAATGCTTATCTTTGGGCCAAACCGAGGACTCGAACCAAAGCCCAATTTGTTATTTCTGTTTTTTGTTATTTCATTAATCCTGTAATTAGTTTTGTCAAACAAAATTTATTTCTTACATCGATTCCTAAATATAGTAAAATTAATAAAAATAATACAATCAATCAAGGTGTACGAATTTAAAACCCATAATTTTTTTAGAAAAACTATAACACAATCCTAGGCGAATAAAGTATTCACGCATACTAAAAATACATAATATATTATTTATTGACATAATAAAAAAATAAAGTATATTGGTGATTCTTACCAGAGTTCAAAATGTAAAGCTTTGACTACTAATCTCATAATTAATAATAAAAATAAAAGTAACATCTTTACTATTATCTGTAACTTTTATATAATAATAAATGTTTTAATTTATGATCATTCCATAAATACAAAAGACATAAACCGTGACACATGGTGAATTCTTAATTATTTCAAAGGGTATTATCTCAAGCATCATCTTTTATTATGGTAAACATTAAATTAGAGTATTTTTAGGAATTTTTTATAGTATAATTGGAAGAGAGAAATAATAATATAAAATTCTCTACAAATTAAATATTTAACTAAATTTAGTTTACAATTAAATTCATTTTTTTCTATAAATGTTTATCAAAAATTTTATTTATACATATTATTTGTTGAAAAATTGTTTTCAACGATCAATGGAAATACGTTCAGTTCATGGGAATAACTTATAGCGTGATACATTTTAAACTCTATCTTTAGATAAATATTCAGCATATTTTTCAAATCTATTTAGTTAAATTGAAAAGGCTATCTTTCAAAAACATTTAAGATGAGAAACCAACCTATTTAAGATGTGGAATAAATAATAATAATAATAATAATTACTATTATTATAACTACTGAAAATAATATATAACATAATATTTTAACATTATTATAGTTTATAATAAGCATATAAATACTTATAAAAGAGATAATGAATTCTTTAAATTTATTGAAGTAAAATTAATAATAAATTATTTAAGAATAATATGAGACAACAAATTCATATGAATTACTCTGTTAAAAATAACTCTAATAGTGAATTTTATGACATGTTTATGTTTAAACTTCATTATAAAATAGTATTTAATTAATTATGACATGTTTAAACTTTATTAGAAAATAGTATTTAATTAAGGCTTTTGAATCAAAATGCTCTTTTATAAAAACCAATTTTAAACTTTAAAACACGATATAATTAGGTCTTATAAAGTGTAACCTATTTATTTTTTCACTTAGAATAATCAAATATTAAAATAAGGAAAAATGAGTAGACAAAAACAAAAACCTCTTGTGAAGACAATATATATGAATTCTCTATATTGTCGAGTTGTTATAAAGATCCAAACTAACGGAAAGGAATGTTGATTCTTTCAACATTTTAGTGGCACAAGATTGTCGAAGTTATAGGAAGAATAGATATCTTTTATAGTAAGTTCGTTTTGTTGGACCAGTTCTTCAGGAATTTAAATCTCTTTAGAACAACTTATTACATGGTGGAATTTCATCTATTTTTTAGGCAATGATTGAGGTTAGTTTAGTTGCATTTTTCATTTGTACTTAATTAACTATTAATCACTTTTTCTTCAATGGACTTAAATGACATCCACTTATTCCTCAACACACATAAAATAGTTAAAACAGGACATTAATTAAAACATGATATAGATCACTTTTCCAACAGTTATCACTATTTTTTTCTTTTTCACATTTTTTTTTTGCTTTCTTTTTCCTGATTGATTTCATTGATTTCAAATGTTGTAGTGTTTAATTTGGAATGATTTGTTTGTATATTTGAAATTCAAACAAACGAAAACTCGACTTCAAGATTAGAATGTTATTAAATTTCATCTATTTGGAATCCGCGACATTATAGTTAAGTTTGTTCGTGCTTTTTTTTTTCAAATGCTTATTTAATATAATAAAATAATCAGATTTTTTCTTTATATATATATATATATATATATATATATATATATAATATGCTTATTTTAAAATAAACAAATTTCGTATACTTCTTAAATAAGTAGTTACTCACAAATATTTATTTCGAAAATACTAATTTTAAAAACACTTATTTCAAGTTTGCTCAAACATTTGAAAAACTTGCTATTTAAAAGTAAGAATCAACGTCCATATACACACATGTATGCATCAGATTCATTAATTGGAAATGTCGGTGTGCATATCATAACTTTCATATGTAGAGTCGGGTAGTAACGTTATTAACAAAAAATGTGCAAATTTAATGCTATCTTACAAGTATTTTAGTGATATACTAATAAATAAATTTAAAAATAAATAAATTTGTATTTAAAATGAAAATTATTTTGAGACAAAGTAAAACATCTAAATTGACATGAATAATTTGGAGTGGTTAGATTAATACGTTGCTAATAATTCCAAAGTTAAATATAATGTATACTTTTTTCTTCGACATATAATCATACAATTTACAATTTCATAATTTTAAATATATCAATATAAAAAAAATAGTTATAATTAACACATTATAAGAAATATTTAAAACATATCATACAAAGAATTAAAATTATAAATAAAGATAGATGAACATTAACGAGTCTCTTAGACTCTCTTCACTTTTATAATTGATTTTGGTTTCAGTTGTGTACGGTACGGTGAACTCGCTTCCCTCCTAACAATCAACATTTTGCTTTTACAATAAAATTGTTATGTATATATTTTTTAATAAATAATTTATAATAAAGAACTTACAATAACTTAATATTTTAATTCACTTTTTTCCACGGTGTTTAAAATTACAAGTGATGAGCATCTCCTGATCAAGTTACGAGAAAAATGAGTTAAGAATGAAATTAAATATTTTGTTATAGGTATTAAATATAACTCAAATATAAAATTTATAATAAAATATTAATTTTTATTCTTAAATAATTTTTTGAAAATGTTCTTAATAAGAATAATTAGCGTCTCATGATTTTTTTTTTTAGGAAATCTCTTGTGCTTAATGGTTTCAAACGAAGTTAGAGAAAAAAATAAGTGTTGAAAATGATGATTTTGAGTTTTACATAGAACCAAGACTAAGTAAGGAAAAGGAAAAATAATAAACCAAATCATAATCACTGTAAATTTTTCATGAGAAATCATTCTAATAGTAATTATTTTATTAAGGAGAGTAACTAATATGTTGTTAACAAATTTGAATGAAATTAAAGAAAAGTAATTAACTAATTACAAACAATGTAAAGTTAGAAATTTAAATATTAGTAAACAAATAAAGTTCATATTTAAGTTACAAATATGCTAATTAATGCCATACAAATTACTAAACTAGTAATTAATATAATAAATAGTACTTCATCTTTTTCAAAATTATATTGTTTTCATCCATTTCAAAAAAGTAATTATTATAGTTATAAGATTATTTTTGTAAATTTTAAGAACACGTTTATGCATGGAATATAATATGAAAACTTTGGTGTAAGAAAAAAAATGTTATATTTGATGTTATGATGGATTGTGTGGTGTCGTTGAGCGTTTATTATGATGGGACGATGGTTTATAGAAAGAAGGGAAGCAGGATTCACGCGCGAAGCACGTGGAGTGAAGCGATGCACAGGGGAGTTGGGACCAATCCACTTGATGAATGAACATCTAAACCAAGCCCACAGGCCCACTCCAAAAAGAAAACCTCACAAATAAACTCTTTCCTTTTCTTCGTTCTCTGTTCTCTTCACTTCTCTCACTCCCACAACAACAGAAACCCACAATGGACTCTCTCTCTCTCTTCTGCACCGGAGCGCTCCTCGCCGGCGGCCTCTACTGGTTCGTCTGCGTGCTGGGACCCGCAGAGCAGAAGGGTAAGCGCGCCACCGATCTATCTGGCGGCTCCATCTCGGCGGAGAAAGTCCAGGACAACTACAAGCAGTACTGGTCGTTCTTCCGCCGACCCAAGGAGATCGAGAAGGCGGAGAAAGTCCCGGACTTCGTGGACACCTTCTACAATTTAGTCACCGACATCTACGAGTGGGGGTGGGGCCAGTCCTTCCATTTCTCCCCCTCCATCCCGGGCAAGTCCCACCGCGACGCCACGCGCCTCCACGAGGAGATGGCCGTCGATCTCATCCAGGCCAAGCCCGGAGACAGAGTCCTGGACGTGGGCTGCGGCGTGGGCGGGCCCATGCGCGCCATCGCGGCCCACTCCCGCGCGAACGTGGTGGGCATCACCATCAACGAGTACCAGGTGAACCGCGCCCGCCTCCACAACAAGAAGGCCGGCCTGGACTCCCTATGCGAGGTCGTCTGCGGCAATTTTCTCAGTATGCCATTCCCCGACAACTCCTTCGACGGCGCATACTCCATCGAGGCCACGTGTCACGCGCCCAAGCTCGAAGAAGTCTACGCCGAAATCTTCCGCGTCCTGAAGCCCGGCGCGCTCTACGTCTCGTACGAGTGGGTCACCACCGACAAGTACCGCGCCGACGATCCCGAACACGTGGAGGTCATTCAGGGCATTGAGAGGGGTGACGCCTTGCCTGGCCTCAGAAGCTACTCTGACATAGCCGAGACCGCGCGTAAGGTTGGGTTCGTTGTGGTGAAGGAGCGGGATCTGGCCAAGCCACCGGCTCAGCCCTGGTGGAGCCGCTTAAAGATGGGCCGGATCGCCTACTGGCGGAACCACATCGTCGTGACTGTTCTCGCCGCCTTGGGAATCGCGCCCAAGGGCACCGTCGATGTCCATGAGATGCTTTTCAAGACCGCTGACTATTTGACCAGAGGTGGTGACTCTGGGATTTTCTCCCCGATGCACATGATCCTCTGCAGAAAGCCCCTTGACACCGACGACCATGCCCAAACCTGAGTGAGCGATCCCCAATTTCGAAAACATAAACACCTCCTCGTTTCTTGTTCCGGTACTCTCTTTTTTTTCATTTTTTTTTCTTCATAATTATTATTATTATCCTCATCTTTTGTTTAACTTATTTTAGTTTTTGTTATTACTATTATTACTATGAACTTGATGTAATTCGGATTTTGATATTTCTATTTTTAATTTTAATTTTGCGATGTTGATGATTTCATTGAGGATGTGCGTGTGTTTTTGTTTTAATGGAAAAATTTACTTGGATTTGGCATAGAGTGGAGATTGGTTTTGATTGGGAATGAATTGAATTGTGCGCATTAAAAGCAGAAAGAAAGCATGTGTGAGTTGTTACAGTATCTGGGCGAATTAATTGATGGATGAACGTGAGGGAGTGAAAAAGTATCTGGAATGGTTTTTTGTGGTGGGATTTATGGTGGTGGTTGTTTAGGGGGATATTTTAATGAGTAAGTGAGAGTGGCTTAATGCGTAGGGTAGGGAAGAGCAGATAGAACAGAAGAGAGCAGAAAAGAGCACATGTTAGATGGGTATATTAGCGTGTGATTAGGTGGAGACCACTGAAGATAGGTTTAGCTTGGTTGTATTTTAACGTGGTTATGGTGAACCTTTCAGTGTCTGAATCTGGCTTGATGCGTGCTGAGTTGCTTTTTTGGTTTTACTCTTGTCACGTTGCGCCTGGATTTTTACTTCCGAATGCCAAAGCCCCACACGCACCGCGACATCTGGCCCGCACTTTCTTTAGATCTGCCTAACAACTCTTCACCCTCATCAACCCAACTCTACTCCCTCAACTTTTACCCCCCCCCCCCCCCCTTTTTTATTGTCCTCTCTCCGTATCTTTTATGATCAAAATTAAGACTAAAATTCCACATAATTTATTAATCATTTACTCTATTTTTGGACAAGTTATTTGAGTGTCGATGTTTTTCAAGAACTAGTAATTGTAGTATAATAGGCGAACACGACTCTTTCAGACAGGAGAAGAAATATGTCTTGTTTTTCTTTTTTAATAAAACACAATTCGAATATCCAACTACCTATTATTTCCAAAATATTTTGGTATTGTTCTTACCTGTACTTGTGTAAGGAGTATTAATGTCTCTCCACATGCATAAATAAGCGTAATCTTTTAGTCGAGCCTATGAAAAACAAGTTGGTGATCCTGCCACATATATTTAAATAATTAAAAGTTATCTAATAATTACATTATTATTTTAAAAATAAATTGTATGGTTTTAAAATGTAATAGTTTATGTTTAGAATTTTTATTTTGTTTATTATAAGTGTTTTTAATCGATATAAGAAGATACTTGGTTCTTTCGAGAGGTTTTTTTTTATCTTACTTTTAGTTACAATTTCAATTCCGTGATTTGCCTCAGATATGTTGACGGTAAAGGTTGATATTGTTTATTAAAGTTTAGTTTAAATTTTAATTAAAAGTAACACTAAAAATAATTACTTATTGCATTTAAATGGCCTTATAATAAAAAAATTAAGCATTCAAGTGTGAAAAACCCTGTTGCATGTCTTTCAGTTTAACTCACAAAAACGATCTGAACTTCTATGCTCCAAGTGTGTGTTGAAAGTTTTTTTTTTTTTTTTTGGTTAGTAAAAAACGATTTATTATATTAGGATTACTTATGAGTGTTATTTTAATTTTATCTAATAAATTTTATCATTGAAATAGATGACATGGAAATATTCATGTATATACCGTTGCTTGTATTTATTTAAAAGAATGTTTTAAAAAGAGTATATTAATAAAAAAATATTTTTTAAGTATTAATATAATGGTAAGATTCATAAAACTCAATTAAGTAGTCACATGTTCTTAATATTAAAATGATTTTTGTACAAAGTCAGTAATCTTAATATTAAAATAATTATTTATATAAAATGATTAAATTTATGGGGTATTATATGCCTCTACCTATTATGAATGCTTTTAAATAGAAAACGTGTATTAAACATGAAGATAGTTAAATTTATTTTTAACCCAAATGGAGTTCAGACAGGGGCATGTGCACACAACTCAACCCACTTTTATCATAGAGTTGGCCTTTACATCAAAGCATTAATTTGAAAAATTAAGGTTGTTCTATGGCTGTGTGTGGAAAGGCTCTTGATCTCTGAGAAAGAAAAAAAAAAAACTGATTCCACTTTTTCTATTGAAAGGATCTTTTTCTTTGTGGAAAATTTCAGGTTCTTCTTTTTCTCGATGGAAAGTAGTGAGGCACGGGATGAAATAATATGATCATGATTCACTCACGCAACGCAGATATCGCAACTTGGACTTTAGATAGCGAATCACTTTTATAAAACTTTTTTTTCATTTCAAAAGTAGTTCTATATTTTATTTTGTAGTATTTTTTTCAGATTATTGTTTTATGAAGATATTAATGTTTCAAAATATAATGAAATAATAAAATGGAGATTTGAGCAAATAGTGTTATGGAAACCACGATTACTTTTAAAGAATCCAAATTTCTTTAATTTCAAACAGTAAATGACAAGAAACGACCATGCAATAAATAAAGTAAAGAGTTTCACTTTCAAAACCACATTCATTTGACAGCTTTATTAATTATTATAGTTACAAAAATATATGCTAACATTTGCATAGAAATAAACTCAGGGGAACATCTTATGATGCATGTTATGAAGGAAATATGTTAGAGGTAACTTTGTACTTGCAATGGCTACATAAAAGTAATGAGTTATAAAATATTTAGAGTATTTAGAATCTTTTTAAGTTGCTCAATTTTTTAAAAACATAAAAAATGTAATCATCTAAATTTAAAACTAAAAATGGAAAATGCATCATGTTATATTTTAAACTGGTCTTACACCTATAACATGGAAATCATCATAATTAAAACATTTTTTTACCAATCCATTTTGTCCTTTAGGCATTAAGAAAGATCATTGGAAAATTGGAAGATATATAGATGTCAACTATCTTGATTGAAAAAAAGGTGATAATATTAAACATTATGAATTTAATTAATAAAATTAGAATGATTACAAAGATATGTATTATTTGAACAAAATTTTTTTTATCAATTTGTTTCAACAAAGTTCTTTTATTATCATTCACTCATGTTATAATATAAATATTTTTCTTATTTTGTGAAAGTATTTATCTATCACTTTTATTCGTTTGAAATGCCTTCAAAATATCAAGTATGTGGAGGTGACACCACGTTGCAGAGAGAGTTGCAACGTTGTATAGCAATTTCAAAATTCCTATTACATAAAACTAATGATGGTTGTTTGAAGTTGACATGATACTTATTTTTTAAATGTAATTATAAAATTATCATTTTATATATCTATTTTTAATAATTCTTTGTTTTTCTTTGTGTAGTATTTGATTCTTAATATTTTTTATTCTAAAAAATAAAATATACAAATATTTCGACATTTGGATGTTGAAGATTACAAGTGAAGTATTTGAGAATATGTTTATATAATAACATGTATGATCTTGCGATAAAAATAACCTCCATGAAATAAAATATCATAGTTAGAATGAAATTTACGTTAAAAAAAAAAAGAACTTGAACATTGACTTTAATTTTACCTCGTAAAATATTAGCATTTCAATTTTTTTTACAATATCTCTTTTCCTTTTTCCATTTATTTTAAATTTAGAAAGTTAAAAATGATGATCTTGCTTGCACAGAAACTGAATGTTTTTCAGTGGAGAGAGATGAATCTCCTTCAACATTATCCTGAAACTAATAGCTGATTAAAATTTTCATTCATAGCTTTAGGAGACACTTTAGTGAAATAGTTGTAGATGTGCTACACCCTGATTCTTGAACTTTGCCTCCATCTTTTGACTCAACTATTGCATCCTTCATCAAGCTTTCTGCAAAATGATATCATGCCCAGTCTCTCCTCCCAAGAAATAAAAAGTATCATGGTTTTTGAAGATGAAGCTCCCCCATGGCATCAAGTGATTGTCCAGCACCTCTAAGTAGCAGAGAATATATAAAATACCAAAATATGTCCTAAAAAAAAAAATACAATCCTTCACAAGAACTGGCATTAGTGGCAAGTGATCTCTAGGTACAGTTCTCCATGCTTTTTCTTCTCCCATTGGAGTTGCCTAACGTGATTTGTCAATTGAATTTATTTTGACGGTTCCAAAGAAATGCAAGATGTTCACAATTTTCTGGAATGGAAGGGCATCACACCCTTATCAAAGGAAATACTTCAAAAAAAAACTATTTGAACTTTAAATTCGAAGCATTTTATATAAAGAATAAAGAAAAAAATCACAAAAATAAAGAAACTAAATAAATGCCTATTTTGAAACTATAAGGGATGTAAATGTCATCTAGTATAGTCTGAAAAAAGATTAAAAAAGATTCTTATTTATTTTTAATTTAAACTTTTACATTAAATATTGTATATCATCTACACAATTATTCCTAATTTAATAATTTTTACATTAAAGCAATTTTTCTGTCTCTTAATCTTATGTTAAAAAAACTAAGATTCAATCTTCAAAAATTGACTCCATAAGTAGCGATTAGATCTTATAATCTTAGTAGACACAAGTAAAAAAAATACTTCACAAGCCCAAGGGCCAATAAATAATATCTCAAAGATAACAAAATATTACATAAAATTCCTAAGGGACGACAAATGTCCCAAAATATTATAAAACAAAGTTTTCCAATGCTTCCTCACGCATGATGCTCATGTATTAACAAAAGGGCCTCAAAAAATTGTATATTCTCGTCTATACATTCACTTCTTGAACTCAGTGGCCCAAATAATAATTGCTAACACCAAATCTACCCGAATATTTTCAGGAAAAGGTATGCTAAGTTTACAAAGGAGGTATACATGAAGTGTAGGTAAATGGACTCAGTTTCAATCCCTCGATCAATCAGTTCCTAAAGTAACTTAATGCCAGTTGACCTAAGGCTCTTGAGCAAAATATATGGAACAAATCAGCTTCACCAACAAGATACTCCCCCAAGCCATCTGATACACACAGCTTAAACTTTCCTTTTAAGAATTATATCTGAATACTGGCAGCACATATCAACTGTCAAGGAAAATTTAAAAATATTCCAAAAAGGATGGAGAAGCTTTCTACTTTTTTGGGTAGCCTGGAGCTAAAGGTCAAACAATTGAGCAACAAAAAATATAAATTACTCAAAAAAGAGAAGAAAATGGTAGCAGCTCCACATCTTATGCCTTATGTCATCACAGTTGCCAGGAACTTCAACTCAAGATCAGAAAAAACTTGAATGGCTACTGAAAACAAACCAAGAAGATGACGATGTGCTTCCTTCATGTGCAATCAGACCTCGAGGAGGATGTCCATATATTATGTAATGATTTGTTTCTGGATCTTGTGGCACACAACCATTTTCTTGGGATCTCAGGATCATCACTTGTTACAGTTGGCACATGCCAGCTACCATTGGCTGATTCCTGCAGTTATATTATATTTAGCATGTATTGTATAAGTACAGTTGGAAATCTCAGTTTTATCTGTCAATCATTTTTTTCCTTTTCAATATAGAAGGGCTACAAAAATACATACAAGTGGAGGTAGACAACCCCCAGACCCAATTATTCAATACACAGGTATGAATTATATCTTGACGCTGAGCAAGAATAATTATACAGCCTAGCCACCATATAATTTGTTTGGTGAAAACGCAGTTGGGTTATCAACTCACCTGAATAACTATTGAATAACAGGGAGGCATAATTAGGGAGCCTCTAGAAGATGAGGTTGATGCTCGAACCTGCAAATCAGAAAACACATCGTCAATCCTTTCATTATTGGAGTCAAAAACCCGATGCAAGAGTCACTATGAAAATACAAATAGCACATTAGTAATTCAGCATCAAGAAAGGCTAAAATTCTTGAGAACTGATGCTAACACAGAAACATAAACTCTAATAAACTTTAGACAACAACAATTAAAACGAAATCCATAACCCACTAGGTGAGGTCAGCTACATGGATCGCACAAAGCTATTAGGGCCAAATTCTCAATAGTTTTTATCAATCCCTCTTAAAATTTCCTCCAATGTCCTTCATGACCTCCCTCTCCCCCCATTGTGCAATGCTAAATGCCATGCAATCTATTATTATCCTCGCTGATGCCTTCTACAACTTTCTTTACGCATGTCCAAACCATTGTAACCAATTTTCATGAAAAATGCTAGGAATACTCTCTCTGGCACACTCTTTTAGACAAACTCTTTGTTAGTATAATTTATTGAAAATCACAACATTTTACGGGCCGGTAGAAATAATTTATTAGAATGTGTTCTTAGCACTTCGCTCTATGTGATACCTAAACACCCAATAGGACCAAGTCCTCTTCATAGCACCTTCCCTAGGAGTCACCGCTCCACAGCTTTTACTCTACATCACTTGGTAGAACACTATAGATACCAACTGATAAGCACCCAAACACTTGAGTATACACCAACATCTTCTTCTAGAAAAAACATTCTGTATCTTATCCTTTCTTGTGTGACCACATATCCATCTTAACTTCATATCTGCCACCATTTCCTTTTGTTGTCTCTTTAAAATTCAACATTCACTACCATAGTATGGCTAGTATTAAAAGGTGGACTTATACTTAATTAAGTTTGCATCCCATTTTTATAGATTTTATTTTAACCAATTCCTAATCTATGTAGGATCTCAAATGCACCTCCTTACTTGAAGTTTGGACATATCTAGTCATCTACGGTATGGTATCTTTTCCCAAATTTACTCTAAGTTCCTTCATTTTCTTCATATTTCATGATCAAATTACAATACGTATACTTTGTCTTACTCCTACTCAATTGAAAATCCTTTGATTCCAATGTTTGAATCCAAAACTCAAGTTTAGAGTTAACTTATTTTCTTGATTTCTCAATCAAAACTATATCATCCATAAAATGAAATGCAGCTTTTTGGATTAGAAGCATGATGAATTATGCTATATATGCAAGTTCTTTTGAGGATCTTAGTAGTAAGATACGTAAGTTTATTCTAGACAGCCTCCTAATTCCATATTAGGTTACCAAGTATGACAATTAAGCAAACATTGATGTGCGAAGAAATATTGACATTTGACAACTAAATGAGGACAGCATGCAATGAACCATTTAATAAATTCTTTTTTCTCAAAAGGGTGTTTATTTGCTGCTGGCCCTGGGTAGTCAGTCAATAGTCATGGATACAGAAGACGAGCAGAATTCAGAATAATGTTATAATGAATGCATCTGCAATATTGCACAGCTATACTACATAATGTATAGCGAATTCTCAGGTAGTTTACAATACCTGATGCTTTTCCTTCCATCTCGGGAAAAAACTAGAACCCAGTAGTTGGAACAAGTGGTCCCTCATCTCATCATCTGTTAACAGTAAGCATTTACAACTAACAGCCGCATACAACCAGTACCTGTGTTAAACAAAACAACACGATTTTAGTACAGCTGAATTGTATGACTATAGACATATAAACACTTCAGAACTTACATTCATGTAACTGTTGTAAATGCGTGATACAAAAAATTAACAACATCCAACCCTATCCAACTAGATGGAGTCAGCTACGTGGATCAATCAACACCATCAGGTTCTTTGGAAATGTAAAATAACAAAAAAAGGAAATTAGGCAACACAATCTTACTTCATATTATGGAAGCACTACATTACCAGTCATCATTTGAACCTTGAGGTGTAGCATAAAGAGCACCGTTTTTTTTCCAATTTTCTATAAGTCTCCTGTTTTTTGGATTTTGAGCAGGACCACCATTTACCCGACTTATATGCAAAATTATAAGTGGCAATCTCTTCGAAGGGCTTATTTGCCGTAATTGTTCAACAACAGTATTAAGCTACAACCAAGGGCAAATAACCATTAAGTAATTACTTTTGCAATGGGCTAAATAAATTCCACAATTTCATGCTCACCCGGGAAAAGCTGAAATTGTGCCCATTGGAAAGGCCTACATTGGCACCATCTACAACAGCATCAAACGGGCCATGCCGCTCAAGCCACTTCTGCAGAAGTTAAAGTTCTATATCAATCAGTATTTGCTGTCTTTTTATATATAACCATATTGAAGACAGAGAGTTGAAAATAAAGGCAATACGATATACAATCCTTGTCAAACTACAGGAAAAAAAGGATAGCCCTTCACCTAATTCAGCTTTTAAGTATACAAACAAAATTTTAAAACAAAACAGTGATTCTTGTTCTACCTGAAAATGAACAAAGTTTTCCTTAGCTTCTTTTTGGCAAGCTAATTTAGATAATGAGGCAGCAAAAATTTCAGTTTCCTTTGGATCAATATCAATGCTCACAAGCTTCTCGCCGCAGGAGAGACACACACCATCCTCCTTCACCTGAGTCTCCACCATCTTCCATCGCCCTCTCCCAAGCCATCCTTGACCATGCCATCCTCCACCTCCCCGCAGAATCCCTTCTCTCACCTTGTTCACATCCCACTTCTCTTTCCCGATTGTTGCAGCATATTCCGAGTTAAACCAGTCCTGAACTATCCGTAAAGTCGACTCAGACACCTGTCTCACCGTAGCACGTAAACGATGCAAAATCTCATACACCTTGTCTTCCTTCTTCGTATTGACACTGACTTCCAAAAGAGCAGAAAGCTCAGGCTCTTCAGCCACAATACCAGACTCAATCATGTCAGCATCAACTAGATAAGCTTTCTCAGCATCACCCCTCTTGCAAAATCCAAACAAAGCTGGTTCATACGATCTCAGCTTGGGAGGAATAGCAACATTCTTCATCTGCTTCAGCAATTCGAAAGCCATATCGGGATCTTCCTTGGCAGCAGCAAGCCTAGCAGCATTGGTAAAGGTCGCTTCATTGGGCTGAACTCGGTCAATCAACATCTGTTGAAAAATCTCAAACCCCCTTCTGAGACCCAAATGGGGAACATCAGCATTTTCAACAGAACATAAGTATAGCAATTTGTTATAATGGTCAAGGTTGAGTAGAACCCCCAATTTTCGAGCCTCGTCATAGTGGCAAAGGGCTTGAACAACATCTCCATCCTTCGAGCACTCGTTCAGCTTGCGCAATAAGACCCCTTCCGGAGATTCATAGAAAGCTTTTCTTCTCGCTTTGCTCGAAAGCTTAACCGTGGTTGTTCCTTCGTCTCGTGATTTGGGCGTTCCAGCTAATGCAGTGACAGTGGAGAACTTAGCACCGACAGTTAGGGCACGTTTGGCGTTGTGGCAACGTAGAATGCGCCAGTAATGGGATTGAGTGAAGATACCGAGAGGCTGGACGAGTCTTGCCATCACTGTTTGTTGAACCAACGACAGACAGACCAAACAACAACTAACCTGGAATTCATCAAATCCAAATTGAATACCACTTTGTCCTCACAAAATTAAGACAACCCTTCACTTCGCATAAGACCTTCTCCATCGCGGCTTCATTAAGCTGCTTCCAGTAAGAACAAACCGTGCTCACCAAAAAAATCAGGATTCAAGGTAGATGATATGGCACCATTTTTTCTTTATTCTTCTTATCCTTGAACTTAAAAACATATTAGAACCTCACAATGAAAAAATAATAATAATAATAATAAATATTGGTTTAATTTTTCTTATGTTACTCTCTAATATTTTATTTTATCGTTTTTAGATAAAACGATTATCTGTGATTATTTTCTAGAGATATTATTTATAGTTAATATATTTACTAGACATAAAAATATGTAAAACTAAATATATATATATATATATATATATATATATATATATATATATATATATATATATATATATATATATATATATATATATAGACTTTTCTTCTGAAATCATATTAAAATTTTATTATTTATTAAAATAGACTCTTCAATTTTATATACTCAAATAGACCTATTTATTGTGTAAAGTCAGAACTGGGTTCCTTAACTAAAAATGTACCAAGTTAGAATCATAAAAATAGTCAGATTTCCATTAGCAGGGAATCGAACTCCAAACAGCATTTTATATTTTATATTTTTTTTTCCAATAGTTTACCAGCACATATAAAAACAGAAGATATAAAAGAGGTTGAGAATGAAGAAGAAATACAAATTGTTATTACAAAATTTTTAAGAGAGCTTACAATTTTTGAAACTATTTAGGGATATGGAAAGCTGAGAACTTATGTTATGAGAGGATTGGCTGAGGAAGATAGAGTTTAAAGCTCAAGGAGAACTGTAAATGATATTTCAACAACTGACTCTTTTATAAGCCTAAAGATTCTCCTATTCACGATTACAATTGACACACTATAGTCAAAAGTGACTGACAAATCTCATAATTACAATTGACACGTCTTTATTTTTGGCGGCCGACACTAAAAGCAAAATAGAATAATTACAAGTACTTTCAATTGTGTGGGCCCCATTTATCTTTGCGTAAAGAACCAACTAATTACGTTCTGAGGTGTGGGACCATAATATCTATTGGGTGATGGGCCAACTAAGCTCAGCTTCTTACTAAGATGCTATCTCTTAGGAGGGGAATTCTTGAGGGTGTTCTTCTTCTAATTTTCTCATAATTTGATGAACTTGTAACTCTTCTTTAGTTGATATTCTTTACATGATATTATTAATCATCATCGTTAATTCTGCTGGAATTGATTGCTAAAATTGGTCAAAATCAATGTTTTCTTCATTTTCATATAGATCTTGGACATCCTATAGGTTGATAATGGCTTCAGTTTCTTCTTCTTCTTCTTCATCAGAGCCCGATGAGGATAATGCTTCAATCATTTTTTGTTTTAATTGGGCTTTTTCGGCTTTTGAGGAAGGGAGGTTCGGTAAGTCTATAATAACTTTTCCTTTTTCTTTTATAGAAGATATTTCTCTTTGGATTGGACTTTTTTGTGTGATAAGGCCCATTTTCTTCCAATTTTTGAATTTTTCTTCTACGTATTGGGTTTCAAATTTTTTCCACCAACAAACTTTAGTTTTTAAGCACAGAGTTTTAGGATAGGTTTCTTCTATGTGTTGATGGATTTCAGGAATGTGGGCCAAAAACCAGCTTATTCCCATGTTTGAGCAAAATTTTATAATTCGAAGGTGTAGAGGGTATTGAGGAGTAAGACTTTTACATTTTTGGTACATTTTCATGATTTTTTCTGGGATTATAGATTGGACCGGACATATTTGATGAAACCAATCAACAAACCAATTTGGTAGGGTATTGGGTACTTCTTTTTTAAAACATATATACCATGAATGCCTAGGATTGGTATCAAATAGTATCTTATTCCAGGCTTCTTGGTAATCAAAATAATTATATGAAGGACGGTCAAAGGGCCTCGAAAAGCTCTTATCTGTGAAAGGGTGTTGGTTCCATTCTTGGTATGAAATAATTTTAATAATTCGTAATTTTGAATAACTAATTATCGAGGGGTCTCTATCATTTGCAATGGGGGTTATTTCTGCAGATCCTGCATCTATCAGAATAAATTGGTAAAAATTTTTGGTCTTTTTCAAATTTTCTGACTTAGGGATCCAACTCCATCCTGGAGGAGCTAGTTTTCTAAGTATTCCATAAACATCTTCAAGATTTCAGTCTTCTTCTAAAGTAATAATCTTCTAGCATCCTTCTTTGATATGAAATTCTTTTTTAGGGGGAGAATGTTGCGAAATTTGTGGTGTTAGAGGGGTAAATCTATTAGGTTGAGTGGTTATTGAGGTAGGAAGTTTTCTAGTGGTCATGGTTTTCAAGTATGATGGGGCAAAGTCGTCTAAAGATAATGTCGAGGACTTTTGACCCTTTTCTGTTTTACTCTTTTCGATCGTAATCGGGTTTTTAGAGGGGTTGCCATGGGTGTGGCCCTGCAAAAATTCTCTAGTTAGGAAATCGGGTATTGAATTTTTTTTCCTTTAATAAATTCTATTTCAAATTCAAAACACGTTAATAGACTTTGCAATCTTGCAAATATTTGCTTTGAAACTATATTTTTTATGTCCTTTTCCAAAATTTCTTTCGCAGATTTACAATCAATTCTTAATAAAAAAAATTTTGTTTATTAAATCATGTTGAAATTTTTGTATATTTAAAATTATACTTAAGACTTCTTTTTTAATAGTGCTATAATTCTTTTGAGCATCATTCCATATTTCTAAGTGATATCTTACTATTTGTTCGGGATCATCTTTTAACTTTTGTTTTAGTATACCTCTATATCCTATATAAGAAACATCAGCTTTCTATAATTATTTTTGCTTCTGGATTTGCTATTCCTAGACATGGCAGGGACTTAACTAATTTTTTAACCTCTATTATTATTTTAGTCATTTCTGGATTCCATGGTTTGGGATTTTTCCTTAATCTATTAAAGAGGGGTTTACATAGTATTTGAATGTTAGGTATAAATTCCGATACATAATTTAAACATCCTAAGAATCTTTGTAGTTGAAGTTTGTCTTTTATTTCATCGGGAAATTTTTCTGAAAATTCAATACTTCTTTTAATGGGGGTTATAGTTCCTTGGTTTATTTCATGACCTAAAAATCTAATTTGGGTTTGTGCTAGTTTTATTTTCTTTTGTGATATTACCATTTCATTTGTTTTTATAATATTTTTAAATATTCTTAAATGTTTTTTATGTTGTTCTATTGATTCAGAAAATATTAAGACATCATCAATATAGATAATGACAAATTTTGAGTAAGGGTTTAATATGTCATTCATTATTTTTTGAAATTCGAAGGCGCGTTTTTTAAACCCATAGGCATTACGTTCCATTCATATTGCCCGAATGGTACTATAAAAACAATTTTATATTTATCTTGTTCTTTTAACTTAATTTGATAATATCCACTTTTCATATCAAACTTAGAAAATATAGTTGCATTATAAATTCTACTTATTAGTTCGGTTTTATTAGGCAGGGGATACCTAATCCATTTTAAGACCTTATTTAAAGGTTTGTAATTTATTACCATTCTTGGTTCCCCTCTTTCTATTTCGGAGGCATTTTGTACATAAAAGGCAGACACAACTCCATGGAGATTTACTAGGTCTAATAAGTTTTTTATCTAAAAAAGATTTTATTTCTTTTCTACAATATTCTAATGTTTCTTTATTTAATTGTACTGGTTTGGCTTTGGTAGGAATATTATTTTCCAAAAATCCTTCTTCGTAAGGTAATTCTATTTCAAAAGTGTTTCTATTCCAAAAAGGTTTGGGGACCTCTGCACATACTTCTTTTATGATTTCTTGTTCTATCTTTTTAAAGGTTGTTATTATTTCAAGATTTTTTAATTGTTCTTCAATTCTTTTGTATGCTATTTCTTGTTTTAAATATTTTATATGGCTATTTTTGGGTTCCAATTTTAATAGAAAGTTTTCCTCATTTACTTCAGTAACTATTTGTATTTCTTTATTTTTTACTGGTTTAATGAATTCGAATAAAATATTTTTATGTCTTATTCCATTTTCGGATACTTCAAAAGGGTATATTAATGCTAGAAATGGGGTTCCTAGGATCATTTTTTCACTAATATCGGGGGTTAGTATAAAAGTATTTTTAAAACAAGTTCCTTTATTACATATACTTGCGTTTGATAATTTATATTTTATCTTTAGTTTTTCAGAATTCGCAGTTCGTAGGGTTTGTAAAGTTTTTTCATAGAATTTAGTAGGTATTAATCCTTCTCTTATACAATTTATATCAGCTCCAGAGTCCATTAAAACTGTAAATTGTTTATGAAAATTATTTCCAATTTTTAATGTAGTTTTTATATGCCATTTTTGTTGTAAAATATTTAGTTGATTAACCTTTTCGAAGTTGATTCCTCATTTAAGATAGATTTATTATTTATAATATTCATTTTTTTCTTCTTGTATTTCATTTTTTATCTTTAATTCTATTAATTGAATTTTAATTTCTTTTATTTCTTCTTTTAAAAGGCTTATTTCTTTTTGCAAGTCTTGTAAATTTACTTGGTTTTTCTTTATTTATTGCCTTTCGTAATATTTTTGACATGTCATAACCACTTACTTCTATTGATACAGTTTCTGCTTCTCTTTCGTTTAGTATTAATGTTTTTAATTTATTTAAATATTCTAACTTATCTTCTTCATTTGTAAGTTTATCTACCATTTCTAAGGCTATTTTAGTTTCTGTAGTTAAAACATTAATATTAAATATGCAATCACAATTTTCTTCCTTCTCATTTTCACTAGGATTAGTGGTATTTTAATCTTCGCTACTACTCGGTTTCAATTAGATTATTTATATATTCTTCTCATTCATATAATAATATTTTTGCTATTTGGTTTTT